ATATATATAATCACTATATATCTATATATATATATATATATATAGCTTATACATATATTAATATAATATAAGTATATATATATAATCTAATTTATATATACTGTAATATATATAAATATATATATGTATTATATATTATATATATATATGATTAAGGTGTAGTGATATTTATATGTATAATAATATTTATAATATATATATATATATAGTATATAAGCTATACAAATATATGACTACTATCTATCTATACTACTATGTATATATTGATGTAATATATGTATATATTTTGTGTATATTGTATTATTTGATATATCTAGATATATATAATTAATATATATATGTACATATATTATATATATTTATATATATATCTACTTATGTATATATTATATTTATACTATATTGTATATATATGTACGTATACTGTATATATTATATATGCTATATATAATGCATAATATATTGTCCACTACTATATGACTATTTATGTTTATAATGATATATTATCATAATAGGTATAGTGGTGATTACATATATTATGTATTATGATTATGTATATATTTATGTATATAATGTATATATATGTATATATATCGGTATAATATATGTATATATATATGTTATATATATATTAGTATATATATGTATGATATATATGTATATATCTTATGTTTATTTATATATATTATGTATATATTGTAATATGTCATATATTTATGTATATATGTATATATAATCTATATAATATCTATATAATAGTATATATATACTATATACATATCATATATATTATGTTTTATATATATGTATATTATATATGTATATATTATATATTATATATTATATATATATATATATGGTATATTATGTATATTCTATATTGATAATGTATATATTATATGTTATATTGTATTATTTGTATATGTATATTATTATAAATATGCTATATTAAATTTATATAATATATATATTTATATAATATATATATTTGTATACATATATATATATTATATATACAAGATATATATATATAAATATATATATTTATATAATTTATATATATTACGTATATATATATTCTTATTTATATATTATTCTATCTGTATATATTATACAATATATCTATACTATGTTACAAAATAATATTATATATATTATTTTAAAACATATATACTATATATATTGTATATTTATGTATATATATATGTGTATATATATGTACTATAATTATATATTGTATATATATATGCAAGATATATTATATATCTATGATTTATGTATATGTATATATATTATATATATATATATTAATATATATATTATATATATATGTATATATTATATTATGTGTATATATATGTTATATATGATATATGTATATTTGTATTGTATATTATATTATATATATGTATATATATTATTATATATATTTATTATATATATGTATATATTTATATATAATGTGATATATATATGATATATGTATATATATATGATATATATATATAATATATATATGCTATTATATATGTATATATGTATATATTATATATATATATATATTATAATATTTATATATTATATTTATATATATGTATATATATATGTATATATATTATATATATGTATATATATATATGTATAATATTATGTATATATATATGTATATATATATGTATATATAGTACATATATATATGTATATATATATGTATATATATATGTACATATATATATGTATATATAATATAAGATATATGTATATATATATGGTATCTATATATGTATATACTGTATATTTGTATATATGTATGATATTGTATATATTTATGTATATTTATGTATATATATATATTTATATCTCTAATATACATACATATATATAATATTATATATATATATGCAATATATATATAGATAGATAGATAGATATAATATACATTTTTATTGTACATTATATATAAGTTGTGTATATGAGATATATATTACATATATAATGTATATATATGTATATATACTGTATATATATATATATATGTATATATATATGTATATATCGTATTATATATATATATATATATATGTATATATATATATGATATCTATATATATATATATATATATATATATATTATATATGTATACATATATATATGTATATATATATATATATATATAATATATATATATATATATATATATATATATGTATATATATATATATATATATATATATATATATATATATATATATATATATATATATATATATATGTGTATATATATACTATATAATATATATATATATATATATATATATATATATATATATGTATATATATATATGTATTATATATATATATGTTATATACTTATATTATAATTTAATTATATATATTAATATATATTTTTATGTATATATATATGTATATATGATATGTATACATTTATATGAATGTATAAATATATATATATATGATATATATGTATACACTATATATATGATATTTTATACATATATATATATATGATATGTATATATATGATATGTATTATATATATGATTTATATATATATTATATATAATTTGTATACATTGTATATGTTATTAGTATACATATATAGTATATATATATATATATATTTATTTTATAATATGTATATATGTTTATGTATTATATATGTAATTATTATATGTTATATGTATACTTATATATAATTGTATATATTTGTATATATTATATGTATACTTGTATATAATTATTATATATATGTTATATATATATATGTATATATGTATATTATATCTACTTATATATAATGTATACATTATATATAAATATATATATATATATATATATATTTGTATACATATGATATATATGTATATATTGTATATATGTATATATTGTATATATGTATACTTATGTAGTATAATGTATTATGTACTTATATATATATTATATATATATATATATATAATATATGTATATATATTATATATATTATATATATATATATATATATATATATATATATATATATATAATATATATATATATTATATATATATATTATATATATATATATACAAATATACATCCGGCGTGCAGCAGTTACCCAGTTTTTCTTTAGTGCAGATTTTGTTTTGATTTTTTAGTTTTTAGTTTTGTTTTTTATGGTAGATATTCAGACTACCATTGCATGACAGATCACATAATATATATGAATGGATTCCTCTCACCCTTTACAGAATTAGTCACTATATTGTCTGATTTATCCTGGGGGCTATCAACCCCCAACCTCTGCAATGGAAGACGTAATCCTCCATATATTCTTGTCAGGTTATAGTGTATGACTGACATGCAGGAGTGCCTGAAGCCAAGTCTGTCTTATGCTCTATCCTGCTGTGCATACTTGGTGGAATCTTTGTTTACCAGGATGGGGGGGGGGGGGGTTGAAGGGGGTGCACCCCCCTGCAGTCGGCTATATATTAACCAATTGTCTGTCTATTATTCATATTTTACCCTGCAATTTCATCCCCTCTCCAGCTATCAAGGCCATGATTGTGGGTTTTGGGTGTTTCCCCAGCATAATTTCTATATATTTGGGTAGTAGAGGGTGGGTGGAATCCGTCGATACCGATATAGTCGTGATCGGTAATGTAAGGATATTCTGAATATTTACTGTTTTTATTCGTTTTTGGGTTGCCTCCCCTTCTCAAAATATAACAGAGCCACTAGTTTTGATTCTGAAGTAGTATTTAGCTTGGTTGTCAGGCTGCTTAATCCAGTCTTTAATATCTTACTACAGAATTCAGATGATACTGATGTAGATTTGCTAATCCCCAAGATTCACAAACTCCAGGGTTTGGTTGATAACCCTAAGTACATCCATGTCTGAGATCCAGGTATACTACAAGTGATGGGAGTATAGAAGGATGTGTAGCTATTAGAAAAGGGGCACTAGGGTGTTCTGTTCCAGCTGAGAGTTCAGGAGGATTTGAAAGCACTTTATTGATTCCCTGTCAATTCCCCCAAATGCTCAAATTTTAGAACATGTTCAAATGATGTGGCTCTATTTTTATTTGTTTTTAAAGATCTTTGGGTTATGTATGTCAGTCATTTATAGAAAAATGTCCCAAAATTAGAGGTATCACTTTTTATGTATTCACAGTGAACATTTGAAGTATGGTGACTACTCTTACAATAATGAAATGGTTTATAAAGAGACAGGGACTTTAATCATGTCTCATATGCAGTTTGGATAAATCACTATCCAGTTTAAAGAATTAGTTTATATGTTTCGGTTACCTTAAAAATGTATGTGTATGTATTGTGTTCCTTCAGAGGAAATGATATATACTAGTAGATTAAACCATGTTTATCAGTGTTAGCTTCCTCTCTATAAGTTATGTCTTCATCTGACAGAAATGTCCTATCTTCTACTTTTATTAGCTATATGAAAACTGCGTCGGATGTAAGATAGGTGAATAGGTGTCCTAGAATGCTGCATTATTTAAATTATTTTTGAATTTTTGTATCTTATTGGCTGTATTTCCAGTAACTATTAGTATATTAAATTGATTAGGGAGATATTCTACATCATAATTAGATACTTAATATATTTGCTTCTATGTTGCAAGTTTCAAAAAGGAGGTCTTAAGGACATTTTGAAATCATTTATGTACCTGTACAGCATTTTCATGTTCACCGAACTTTGACTACATGCACACAATATTCTCTTAATATTTTTTCACTGTACTGGTTTGGTATTGTAATTTGTACATTTATCCCTTGAATTGAAAAATAGATATGGAAGGGGAACAGCTCCCATATTATTTATTGGGAATAGTTGTTCCCAACACTTTTACAGTTCTCAGTCATTCACAGGAACACAGATTGTACATATGATTCCTATGAGAGACAATTCTGTGAGTTAGATGTTGTGAAGCCACTTCTTGCAAAGGTAATAGAAAACTAATGCAGTGTTTCCTCACAGGACTGGCCTTTGAGGTAGCTGAGGGTGGCTTCCTGGACATTGACATCAAAATCTACAGCCCTGATGGCAAGATCATTCACGAGGGCGAGCGCGAGTCCAATGGGCGCTACACCTTCCCCGCCAGTATGGATGGTGTTTACACCTACTGCTTCTCCAACAAGATGTCCACCATGACTCCCAAGATTGTCATGTTCTCCATGGATGTTGGGGTGACTGAAGAAAAGACCCATGGGGAGACTGCTGAAGGTGCTGCAGAAGGGGGTGAGTGTGGTGTAGAGGCATGTTGAGAATTGGTAAACATTGGTTGAAATGTAAATGATAAGAAAGCCTGAAGTTAGTGTATATGTAATGAATAAGAGTTGAAAAGGGTATGCCTTCTTTTCTTTCCTAATGGAAGAATAATATGCTTTTGCGTATATTTTTTCTCTTAACGCTCTTTCCCCTCTGACAGATTGGCCCGTCGATCATATCCAGCAGACAGGTCGATTTACTTGATTGTTCCCCTTTTTTTCTGGTTTGCCCCCTTTTGCAGTGATATTACTAATGTCTTTTCTTCCAGATAACTCGGATGGGATTTCCAGTCTTGTTGATAATGGTGCCTTATGTTTAGTTTATTTGGATGAGTTTGTGTTCCTGTAATAATATCCATTCTTTACCTGTTTGTCCACTTCCTCAGATTCCTGCTTGTATCCTCAACACATTCTCTTCCACTTCCTCACCTTGCTCTTGCTCTGTCTTTCTCCTCAAGCAAATAATTGTGAAAGATCAGTTCTACGCATCCTTTGCTTAAGACTCGTGTTTGCTGCTTACGAACAACAGCTTTGTTCTTATCGAATTTTTGCAGTGAGCTTTATAATTTCATAACATGGCAGATCATATTGTCTTGTGCGGTAATAGTTCTTTGCTTCCTTATTCCTTAGAGCTTTGTAACCTATATGTTTAGGAAATTAACATATTAATTGATTGATTATTGAATAAGTAAAATGTATTTATTTTTTTCATGGGGCTCAAGTTTTGCCTTCTTGTTTTTGGTCTCTGTCTTTAAGCAAAAAAAGACAAGTGAATGTTCTACTTAACCATTTAATGCCCCTTTATAATTTTTTTAGGCTGAAACTCCCAATAGTTTCATTTTTTTTCTTTTTCTTTTTAAATAGAGTATAGTAGAATAGTTTCTTTTTTAAAGAGTTACATTTTCTTTTCTTTTTTCTTTTAATGAATAGTCCCACAAGTGTGCAGAATAGATATAAGATACTGTCTCACACTGTCTTTTATTATACAGAGTGGCATGGTGAGGTCCACAACGACACAGGTCTGTTTTTGTTCCAACTAGACAACAAATCATCCTCCAATTAAATGACGCTTTTGTGAATTCCTGTAAAACCATCTAATACCAGCATTGATATTTATGGTGTCACTTCCAGCAATGCCAGATTCTTTAGGGGGGAATAATCTTTTACCCTCAAAGTAAATATGAAACTTCCTACATTGTATTTTTAAAATTATTTTTGCTGTTAGTGAAAGAAATAGTATAAGAAAATGTTAGTGAGCTAAGTAAAACTGTATTTTGAGTGAAGGTATTTTGCCGTCGTACATGATTCATGAAATATATCAAAACCAGTTGGTAGTTGAATTGTTAAGACTTCAGACATTAAGATGATAAACATTGAAAAATGGAAGATCTCCCTTTCTGTTTATAAGAATAAGAGAGAACTAAAAACCTAAAACATGAAAAGATAATCCTAACTTTTTTAGGTATCAGTTGAACATTTTATTTTCCTTTCCTTTGCTTTCATATTGTCTTTATGTGATATATGTTCGTTTATTACATGAGTCTTCGTAGTCACGGTTGCCATAGATTTTTTCATTGCCTTATTTAATCTGTTGTTAATTTTTTTGTTGGTTGTTTTTGCATAGTTTTTATTATGCAGATTGGAGTAGAAAATTCCAAATGCCAAATTAATTTTTACAATGTTGAAAAAAATGCATATATTTCCCCAGTAGCTTTGGATAGCTCACCAGCATATAAAACTTGCTGTTTTCTCTTTACAAAACAGATTGGTATCTGCAGAATGGCAGTGATAAAGGTTTGTCAGTTCACAAGTTGCCAACACTGTCTGTATTTTTGTTTCAATCTGTTTTGCTTTTCCTCCCTCCTTCCCACTTCTTTTCCTCCTC